TGTACAAGATGAATGCACCCTGCAGTCCTTTGTGTCCTATTTCAACTCTATTCTATGTACGGGCAAGACCCCACAAGACTGGAGTAAATCGGTAGCTACGTAGTTGCCAAAGATCCCCCAGCCTGTGCAGCCCAAGGAGTTGCGCCCAATTGCCCTGACAAGCCATACCTCTAAGGTATTCTCCAGGTTGCTCCTCAAAAGGGTGGGAGGATGCCTCATGCCACGGGGTGCAAAGCAGTTGGCCTGTAAAGGAAGGCAACCGGCAGACCTAGTTTGGTCTACTGCCCGTGTGGCCCACCTGGCGCGCGAATGGGGGGCGGAAATGCACATGATCAAACTTGACCTCAGACGGGCCTTTGACTCCGTGTATCGTGTGAAGCTGGCTGAGAGGGTACAAGCATGGTGCCAACAGGACTTTCCAGCTGAAACGAGATGCTTGGTGCGGTTGTTGGCAGCTGCGGACTTAATCCTTGCACTCCCATGGGGCTGCTATGACATCCACTCGAACACCGGAGTTAAACAAGGAGCTACTGAAAGTCCTCTCCTGTTTGGGCGTCTGGTTGACGAACTCCTTAGTGACATCCCCTTTGACCCACAAAATGCAGTCTTTCACGACCTTTCTAGCGATGGAGGATGTTTCATGGACGATATCATTGCCTGGGTCAAGACTGTACCAGCCCTGCAGCAATTTCTGAACGCTCTGCTACCAAGATTGGAAGCATTCGGTCTGTTTGTGCAACCACTGAAGTGTCAGATGTTGAGCACGCGACATGGACCAGATGTTTACGTCATCATAGATGGGAAGCAGTTGCGCCCAGTTGAAGGTGGGGAGGCGATTGTCGTCATGAACTTGCCGGTAGGGTTTGCTGCTACAGAAAAGCACATCATGGAGCACCTCGTGGATAGGGCACGTGCGAAGTTCCATGGTATTAGCCACATTCTTTGCTCACGAGCCCCACTTCACAGCAGAATGAGGTGACTCAAAACAGTGGTGTTTGGGGTTATGTCTTGGGTGGTGGGGGCCCTCTTCCCCAGCAGGCAAACACAGCAAATGGTGAACCACTTTGAGTGCTGCTGTGTTCGGCGAATGATGGGGATTAAAAGGGGTAGGGATGAGTTGTGGCTGGACTGGGAAAAAAGATCCATGCGGATGGCCAGGGTGGAGATCTGGAGATTTGCTGGGAAGACTGTGCAAAGGCGTATTGGACTTACGCCGGGCATAGGGTTCGCGAAGGGGTGAAACCACATGCATCAGTTGCCGGAATTCTGTCCATGTTTCGAGGGCTTCCATGGTGGAGAAGAGAACAAAATTCCATGCTTGGTGTTCGCCATCCCCGACACTTCCCTCAGTTGATGAATGAGGAACGGTGTATTGCTGAAACCGTGGGCACAGAAGAATGGCGGGTGGTGGCGCTCAACCGTGCCCAATGGAACTCCTATCTTCCCCAATGGCTACGAACCATAGCGATCCCGTGGGCAAGCGCAAGACAAGATAGCCTACCCAAATTGTAGCCGTGATGTCCATGCCACACCAGTGTCAGGGTTAGGGAATGCAGAAGAGTGTGCAGCGTGAACCAGATACATTGTGTCGCCACGAATGACCTCATGCAGGGATAGCTGGTGATCCCGTGTTTTCCTAGTTGCGCTCGCGCCATGCTTTACTCCGTGATCCTTGCGTTGGTGAGTTGGAGGGTGACCGTGACGGCGACCTCTACTGGCTGGCCTGATGGTTTCCATCATGAAGGTTGCGAGGCGAATCGTGATGAAGGCCCTCGTGATCTACGTTCAAGTTTGTGTAAGTTGTCTTTTGGCTGCTGTGAGTTCAAGAAGGTGCATGTACCTATTGCCCGTCAAGTAGGATGTGAACCAGCAATATCAGAAAATCTTTGAAGGGTGTGAAGAAGTTGATGAAGTCTGCCGCTGTGAAGGTACAGGAAAGAAAGGGGAGGTTGCCCCCTGGCAAAATGTGATGCCGCGCCTGTTGCTCTGCCCGGCTAGCCCGAAAAAAGAAGCAGGGAGCTTTGTGAAGGACACCATGGAGAGTCACGCTGGTGAGAAGGGTTTCGGGAAGAACCTTGTTGATGAGGGTGTAATGTGGAAGGTGGCTGTGAACTCGGTGCAAGACCTTACGGAGATCCATGCTGTTGTGAAGGGTGTGAGAAAGCACTATGCCGAAATGGCGTTAGTGAGGAACGCGGCAGTGAAATTCGAGAAGGACCCTGAGGAGACACGTGTCATTGAAGAGGGCCTTGTGGAAAACCTTGTTACGGAGGAAGTGCTGTGGCTGATGCAAAGACGAAAAGATAACAAGCGACAGCGATCTCCGACTCCGCGAAGACGGAGAATCCCGGCACGAGGGCGGGTCCAATTCGAACCAAGCCAAAGGCAGATGCGCAGGTCGTCCTGGATGCAAAATCCAGAAAGGCCAACCTCCAGTGCATCGTGGGCTGCAGTTCCCTGGCGACGGTCGCGCAATGCTAGAGCACACAGTAGACCGTCCAGGCCGACAAGAGCCGCTGAAGCAGAGAACGAAGAATTGTGTGAAGAAGAACCACAGGAACACCCCAACGCCTCCAGCTCTCATATGCCGAGTGCACCTCCGTTACCGCCATTTGAGGAAGGCATACGCACATGGGGTGAATTAATTGGGATCTTGGATCCCATGGATGAGGCAGAGCAGATCATCGATCCACTCGTTGTCACCAGTGGGGTGGACCGTATACGAAGGATGAGCGAAGAAGAACGTGCTCAATTGGCCATCCAGCTGGTGCGCTTTCTGGCTATCCTGCAGATGGTGGATCAGGATGACGTAACTGTACTGCTTCAGCTGCCAGCCACTACTACAAGGACTTCTCTGGCCTCTCCTGGAGCATGGGCGGATGGTGGTGAAGACGATGGCCGTGATGATGATGATGATCACCCTAGCTTGATGCATATGGTGACTGATAAGTTCGGAGTGATGCTACAACAACTCCTTGGCTTATTGGAAAAGATGGGCCAACCCCTTGCAAGCATGAGAGCATCCTTTCTCTTGTCAATGCTGGCGGATATCCAGCGGCCAGGCACCCATGTCTCTGCAGTGGTCATCGAGAAAATGGACCGACTGCAGGCATTGCTGTTGTCTTTTGACGAAGGGGTCAAGAGGGACATGGAAGATGAGGACAGGGACTGGTGCTTGCGTCAATGGGACATCCTGCGTCCTGCCCTGCTGGATAAGAAGCGTGAAGCAGGTGCAAGTGCTCAGCATGAGGAGTCGGCGTCTTCCTCCAACGACATAGTCTTCCTGGAAGATAGCCAAGAGGCCGCAGAGGAATGTGGTCACAAGTGGCGGTCCTATCCAACGGGACCACACGCCCCTTGACCCCGGAAGAGGTTGCGGAAATCGCTTATCACGAAGAAATGGAACAGGCAGCCGCGGACCAGGAAGCCAAAGCTGACGAGCAACGCTGGCTAGAGTTTCGTGCTCACTGCTTGCAAGAGGAAGAGGATGAAGTCATGAAGGAAGCACTGGCAGAGAGTGAACATAGTGCTGGCAGTGCGCAGAAAAGTGCAAGGGTAATGGTCCAAGTGGAGGGAGAAGGAGGCAGGATTGTAAGATCCGAGATCTTCAACATGGTGGTCAAGGACGGAGAATCCCTGACCTACAAAATCATGGTCCTCCCCCGGAACGACCCCGAGGTTCGGCGGCTGCGCCGGCAACAAGCTGCACGAGACGGTGAGACTGCAGCGGAGTCGGAAAGTGAGATCAGCGGGGCAAGTGCTGATACAATGCCGGTGGACCATCAAGGAAGAGTGTTGCCACCGCCACCAGTTATTCCCAACAATGAGCTGGACGCGTTCATGAAAACCGTTGAGGGCAAGGAATACTACAGACAATGGCTGGCAGGTGATCAGACCTGTCGGATGGTGCGTGAACGCTCAGGATGCGGCCTTCTCGCCAAGTTCTTCCAGCGAAAGGTGGAGGAGGATGAGGAGCAAAAAATGCTGCAAGAGGCTCTCCTGGCAGAAGCGGAGGCGAAGAAGGCAGATCGGAACAACAGTGTGGATGACACTATGCAGGAGGAACAGTCCAAGCCAGAAAATGAGGACAAGACGGAGGCTTGTGCACGCTCAGGGAAGGCAGGGCTAGAGGGTGACAGTGAACGGGGACCACCAGATGCTGCGTTGAGGGATGCTCAGGGTTCGTTGGAGTCAGCTACTACCGCAGAAGGGCAGGGTCAAGGGCTACACCAGGGTCGAGGGCTTGATCAGGGAAGTGAGGAACCAGCTGCTCTACCTGTACCACGAGAACGGGAGCAAGATCCGGGACAGGAACAACAGCGAGCACTACGGGATGTTCCACCTACGCTACCTGTCCCAGGAACATTAGGGCTTGATCCAGAAGAACAAGAACAACAAGAGCTACGTGATGTCCTGCCCAATGCAGAAGGGTTAGTGCCTCCCGCGACCTGGCCAAGCTTTGTTCTCCAGGCTGGAAGTGGAACAATCAACCTGGAGAGTCAGACTGCCAGTCAGGCCAGTGTGGGTGGACCCAACTTTGCCCTGCCGGCATCCAGCTTCACCGAAATTTCTGCCGAAGAAAATCAACGGGAGCTTGACTTCGCAAGAGCTGCTGGAGACCTAGAGGAGCACCCAGACGACCAAGGAGCGGAAAATGCCAACAACCAGGGAACTTCTACAACTATGGCGACACAAGAAGAACATGATAGTCCTGCGCCTGCAGCAAACGGCACAACCGGAATCAGTGCAGCGAGCTCTACTGAAAGGGTGTCCAATGAGAGTGGTGATGCAGGGCTAAAAGCAGTTGAACCTGAAGCATTGGCTGTTGTAGTGCCCTGTTTGATAAAGCGGATAGACAGTGTCATGCGATTTGCAATTTCTTTGGCCATGGCAGAAGTGCAAGGGCCTGGGCCGTGCCAGAATGGCATCCCTGCTTGGATCATCAAGTGGAGAAAAGGTCCGATAAAAAAAAAGCCAAGGAAAGCCTCATCCTGTGTGAGGAGCTGGTCTTGATGGAACGTCGTGACGGCGGCGTGGCTCTGCGACTCCCTCAGCCGGCGAAGCCTCCAGAAACTAATGGGCTTAGGGTTTAGGCTTTAGGGCTTTAGGCCTTTAGGGCTTTAGGGCTTTAGGGTTTAGGGCTTAGGGCTTAGGGTTCAGGGTTTAGGGTTTTAGGGCTTTAGGGTTTAGGGTTTAGGGCTTGCCCCGGGGCTTTGGGTCTATCAAGAATCCCTACATGGGGCCGTGATGTCTACAAACACTACTACATTGAGCTATTTGGAGCCCTATAATTAGTATTCCTCTATGACTTTACGTTCTATAGTCTAAACTCTTCAAAGGGGGTTAGATAGAGAATTATATTGGGGACTACTATAGGGGTTATAAAGGGGGGATACTAGGAGTTTAGACTATTGCTCACATAGGCGATTCTGCTTGATATTCGCTAAAAGATGTACATCTGGAGCGCAAGGCTACAAAGCTAAGAGCAATGGCTTCCTTAATCTGGCCTCCGTTTTTTAAGTAGGGTCGTCCATAGTCGCGGGCCAGGGTTGAAAGGGTTTAGGGCTATGGCCTCCCAGCCGTTCAAAGAGTTCCCAAATTTCGAGAGGCCTCTGGAATCCTTTAAAGGCATGCCTCTGTATGCAGGGGCCCAATAAAGAGCCCAAGGGACTATTATCCTTGTCATGGGGAACCCCCAAAACAGTCCCCTTGATTTTGGGAAACACCCATGCATCTCACCATAATCTTTACATCGGAGGCTCACGCTGAATCGGCCCAAAGCGCTGAATGCTCTCTCGGATGGCCTCATGCGGGCGCTCGCAGAGAAACTCCAGCAGGTGGGCTAGTTGAGGGACTGGGGAATTTGGAATGAACTATGGGGGCTCTACTTTAGCGCTTCTACTTCTTAATTAGGGTTAGTTTCAGGAACTCCTCTCTTGCCCTAGCACTGCACTCCCCCAAACTATAGCATGCAGCCTCACATCGACCAGGAACGGAAGATGCTGGAGAGGTGGCAATCAACTTGATGATGCACGATCTTCTTGTAAGACCAACCATGTAGAATTGAGTTGTACCTTTGACGATCCGCCGCGGGAATGTCGTTAACAAGAGTACAACGCAAAGTTCGCAATGATGTTGGGGTGGTTGCGGTCCTATGAAGGCTTACCATATCCCCTTCGTACTAATGTTAAACAGCACACCCCACGCCCCCATCGTAGTAAACATGTCCCACAATGTATGCACAAGGCCATTTATGTTGAATGTCCAAAGTTGTGGCTGAGGGGCGGGCACCAGGTGAGTGGTAAGCGTACTGGTTCGTAGTAGGTAATATGGGGATATGTTATATAGGGCATACATAGGGAGTATTATCCTATTCCCACGTAAGAACCAGTAAGTAAATGCCTCTATCTATTCCCATTCTACCACTCATCGGGGGTGGGGTGGCTACCTCATTAAGGCAGGGCGTTGCGCGACCTCAAGCGATGAAGTGCGTCGTGGCCCATGATTCCCTGACCCATGAGTGCAAGGTAGAGACTGATGTCCTGAATCAGGGGGTGTCATGGCTCTCCATGTTTGTTTGAAGCAGGGCTACCACATCATCATGTGCTGGAGGTTGATGCCGATTCAGCGCTGAAGGCCGGGCACGATGGCAAAGTGTATTGTGCATTTGGGGCGGGCTTGTTTTAGCCTTGAAAGATGCATGTGAATTTTAGAAATTCTCGACGAGCGTATGGGGACAGGTATGTCGCCAGATACTTCTTACTGCATATTCAGGGCGTGCGCCTCGCAATCAAGTTGGTTCAGATTCCCCATTAATTGAAGTCTTACTAGTATAGCTTAAGTTTCCTTCGAAGCCTTAGAATAAAGGCACGGCTTAGGCTTTAGGGTTGAGGGCTCTATCAAAAGCCTAAGGACTGGGGTACGGGCAGTCCCAGAATGACTCTGGGCAAGCGATACCTCTAACTACGCCTTACTTAACCCCATACCCTGAACCATGCCCTAGGCATTCACATAGCCCAAAGTAGGCATTTTTTCATAAACTGTAGGACCCAATGCACGGAGCCCTAGGGATGTACTGCAGCAAGGAAAAGGCGCGATTGACGAACAGCTGCACTGCTTCAATCAAGGAAGTTGCGCCAGGCGGCTGTGGTGACTGGCACAGGCAAAGCCTTCGCTGCTGGTGCGGACATCAAGGAGCTTTGCATGCGCATGGCAGTGCAGAAACCTCAATATTGGGGTTTTAAAGGGTAAGGTGTCCTTTTGGGGTCTCCATATCGGCCCCCTGGTGCTTGGAAACCCGCATTCACCCGCTTGGGCCATCTTTGATGAATGGCAGGAAATGCAGCGTCGAGCTTACCAAGGAGGAATGCAAGTATCAAAGGGAGAGTTTCTTATTCGCTTTGCGGAGTCCAACCTAAGCCTTGCAGCCTACTTTCCGAACCCCTCAGCCCTGGATCCCCCTCAACCTCACATTGGACATTACATTTGTTTGCAGCCGTCTGGCTCTGTGGCAAGGCTGCTGTAGTTTGCCAGATCCAATCCTTTAACCAATGTTGAGAGCATTAATTGATAACGGTTAGTTTAACGGCCCGGCACCCTTGAACAACAGTGCATGCTTGACTTGCCTGTTCTTCCTGCAGATTGCAGATTATGCTCCAAAGTCAAACCAATGAGCACATACTGTAAGCGCCAAGAAGAAGACTAAAAAGCATGCAAGTGGCCACGGGACTTGCCCTGGTCTATTTGGCCGCAGCTGCGCGGGCTATCCGCGACCCGAGACATGTTTTTTGGAAGCAATTATGCCTGGAGCGGGTATTTCTTGGGGTCAACTGCTACCATCTTCTTGAAACTGCCGGCCCTTTCGACGGCTTGCTTGCTTTTTCTTCTTCCCCTCGCAAGCATTCGATTGCATCGAGGGGCAAATTGCAAGGCCAGGCAGCGAGGCTCCATGTTTGTCTAGAAGCAGCAACAGCTAGCTGTCGTTTGTTATTGGTGAGGAACAGTGTCGCAGGACACCAAGAAGTATCACGACAACTGCCTCGAAAGAGAAAGGGCAGCAATGTAGTATGCAAAGTACAAGGATGTGCTAAGTGCCTACCAGGTTACGACAGATAGGCTAACCTTTTGGCATTGTTTCACGAAGCTGTTAAAAGTCAAGCGATCTGTCTGTAAAGGCATCAAAGTTCAACTTGTGATTCTCATGGCCCATGATGTCTAGCACTGGGCACTGGATGTCGGGACTCAGACCATTCCCGTGTGGTTTCCCAGGCTTTGGGCAGTTACCCCTATGTCTGCTATGTAGCCCAAGGTAGCGGCAGATTGAAAAGGGGTCCTAAGGTCGAGCACGATGTGGAGAATCATAGGGTCTGGGTTGTATCCATGGTGCCAGGACCGTGTCCCTCCATGTGGTAGATTCCCTAAATAGGGAGACCCATTATGGACCCCAAAATACTATAATCCTTATTATAGGGACCCCCAAAAAGGGTACCCCTAATTTTGGGAAACCCCTATGTGTTGTGTGTTGTGCAAAGGAAGGGAACTTGACAACTGAGCTGGAGCTGTATGGCTATCTGCAAGAGCCGCTTCTAGCGCTGCCTGGTTGCAGAAGTGTCTCGAGTAATGCTACCCAACGGAAGCATGGAAAGAGACACGCATCTACCACCGTTCATGGCCATTCGCCCTTTTTGGATTATGTGGTCTGCAGACAGCCTCGTGTCGCAGAATTTTCAATAGTAATCTTGCTTTTTCTCCTAGGGCAGGGACAGGTTCAGATTATGAAGGAACGTTTCCAAGTTCCTACCCTCCTGCCTTTCCAAGGCTTAGAAGGGGGGGTTCCATAAGTAGGGTTGCCATAGTAGATCCCAGTATACAACAACAATCGTTATGACAGCGACTCACAAACTCTAGCCCCCATCAACCCCTGTGATATCATCCCAGTTTCCATGTCATGTCCCATATTATTTTTCTCCATGCTTGGGGGTGACGGTGACCCTGAACTCGAATCACTGGTCTCTATAATCCCTAACAATGATGATTATCACTGGGATAGGAGCATCCTAGCTCACTGAAAGCCTTCCTTGATATTCCCTACTTGGAGGGTCAGGGGGACTTAGTAAGTAGGATAATAATGGGGAAAATTGGGGATACTATATGGCTTATAGGGGTTATAAGTATACTTACTAAGTCCCCCTGACCCTCCAAGTACCCACCAAATCCCTGATGTGAAGCACACCCTGCATCCACAGCCTGATCGATTATGTACGCCATTTCCCCTATTTGAGAGGCTTTTGATAGCAAGGGGTTTAGGGAATAGGGAAAGGGCTATCTGAAGCTAAAGATGCCAACAGCTGCGACCAACGGGCGTTTAGTTAAAGGTAGTTCGCGCGAAGTGGTCTCAGGGTAAAAGGCCAATGTTGAGCATACTCATGTTCGGTGCTAAACCTTGGGATACTGAAAAAGAAAATGGAACCTGGTAAAGCATCCCTCATTGCAGCCCAATAGTCAACATTGACGACCCTTCGCAGGTAGTTGTTGTTTAGCCCCCTTGGCCACCCAGAGTTCTTCAAAGTAGCCTCCGCTGCTCAAGTCCAAAAGCCTGAAACCCTAAACATCGCGGCTTCCATTTTCTTCTCCATTATCCCAATATACGCCCCATATAGCCCCTATAAAACCCTTTAAGGGTACCCCTAATTCATATAGCCCCCATATACCAACCCTCTCTGTTACCCCATTCCGTCAAACCCCTCTGACTGGCCATCTGCTCAGGATCTGCTGGGGGTATATAGGGGATATGTTGGGATATGGTTTTGGGTATCATATGGGGGCTTCCCAAAATAAGGGGTACCCTTAAAGGGTTTTATGGGGGGGGTATATAGGAGATATATTGGGATCATGGAGAAGAAAATGGAAGCTACTATTTAGGGTTTGCCGGGCTATATGAATTAGGGGTACCCTTAGAAGGTTTCATAGGGGCTATATAGGGCTTGCATTGGGATAGTGGAGAAGAAAATGGAAGCTACTATTTAGGGTTTAGGGTTTCCCAAAATTCGGGGCACCATTTTGGGGGGTCCCTATAAATAGTAGATTGCTGTCTATATTGGGGTCCCTTTATTTCAGGAAACAACCCCCTGTTGCAATCAAATCTGACTGACCCAAGGCTGACATGTTGTGGTTTGCTCAGAGCCTTAAAGTCTTTAAAAGGGGGGTGAGGTTTCACAGCCCTGAAACCCTAAACCCTGAAACCCTATACCCTAAACCCTGAAAGCCCTGAGGTCCAACGACCAAACCATACTGGCCTGAGGTTTTACATCAACACTGATGCCAGCACTGCGCGAAGAGCCCACTTGGAGAAGCAGCTCATCTCCATTGGGTTCAAAATTATGCGAGCTCTAGTCTAAACTCCTTAATAAAGGGGCTCATATAAGGGGCTATATAGGGTTCCTATTCTAGGGATTATGAAGGGGGATACTAGAAGTTTAGACTATAGCTCAGGTGGTTCCCATTTCTGGGTTTATAATTAGGTGGTTCCCTTTCTGAAAGTCTAGAATTGTCCTCAAAATCTAAAAGCAATACCTGACCTACTGTGCATTGGGCATCAAAGTCTATGAGTATAAATTACCTACTCTGGGCTACTTGGATTATTAGGGAATTTCTTGGCTAAGGGATACTGGCGCGGAGCATCCTGGTCTTTGACAAGTACTCACCTTGTGAGGTTGGGGGAACAGTCCCATCCCCTGAAACTTAGAAGCCTTTGCCTGTGCCCTGTTTGTAAGAAGATGTTGTCTGTTAGCGTGCAACTGGAAAATAAGCGTTGGAAAGAACACAAACCCTGAACCCATCGGACAAGAAGGCAGGCGAAGCAGCTTGAGCTGCCGATCAAGCGTTTCAGGCCCGGTGGGGAACCCTAAACCCTAAACCCTAAACCCTAAACCCTAAAGATTTAGGCTCCGCGAGGTTGGGGTTTGACGATTACGGATCAGGGTTTAGTCTTTTTAGGGTTGATGGTTCATGCAGGTTAGGGTTTAGGGTTTAGGGTTTAGGGGTTGATGCTTACTTCAGGGATGTGGGCGGAGTTTACGTAAGGAACTTTAGGTTTGGGGTGTGGGATTGTCGCTCGGCCGGCCTAGGCTCTGCCAATCAGGGGTATCCAGTAGGACCCCCACCCTGCAATAGTGGTATAATAGGAATATAAGAGGACCCTAATATAATCCTTATTATCCATAATAGTCACTATTACTGGGTGGGGGTCCATCTAAGGTATCCACCGTTTGTGTTGACTGTGCTTTTGCTCAGTCGTCGGGCCAAGTAAGGATAGGTACAGTTGCGTTCTTAGGTTGATTTTGAGTTGAGCCCAGGGTTCTACAAGTGGCTTTGGTTCGGGCATAAAGCTAACAAGTACTGGCAAGTATCTGTTTGTGTATAGCTATATTTAATCAGCGTTGTAAACGTATACATCTCGTGTATATGTATATATATATATCTACATTTATATACGCAGATACATACATGTGTCTGTCTCTCTCTCTCTCTCTCGCTCTCTCTCTCACTCCCTTCCCCCATACACTATAAGCCACCAAGTGTTATTGGGCTCATGAGGCGAGTTCCGTGTCCATGCTTTGTTAGCGTCGATGCGTCGTGTGTACTAGTAGCTATTGGATTTGGATTTCGCAGGTTGACGGTCTCTTGAAATCTCTTGAGATAGGGTTCTGTTTTTGTTTCATGTGGGGACAACATGTGGGGAGTTTGATTACGGGGTATGCGGCATATAACATGTTAAAGAAGAACAATGATACCACCAGCCTGTTTAAGATTTTGGCACTATCGCATCCGGCCTTTCGATGACCATGTCGAGAACTGCAGGGTTCCTCACTACCCCTTACGACCACGCCTGTACAACCTCCCCCCCCACGCTCCCCCCTATCCAAAAGAATTTTTCCAATAGTTGCCGCCTCTCCGGTCTTCTCACAGGATCTAGTTTGTTCGATGGTGTGTAGAGAGCCCGCTGTTGCGCCTCCGCCGCCTTCGGATCCGGAACCAGGGTTGACACATCACATTCAGAGCACGTCCTCTACATTGCCTTGTGTCACAAACGCAGCTGCAGTGCATCAACGGACCGTGACAGGCATGCCAGTTTTGCACTTGTTCTCATGGCTGTTCGAGCGCGATAGAACCATAAGCACACATGTCACAGGAAT